TAGCGGTAAGAGCGTTGCTTGATCAAGGCTCGCAGGTTACTTTTCTTGCGGAAAATATCGCTCAACTTCTGCGCGCTAAACGAAATCGCTTGCCTATATCGATCTCCGCTGTAGGAGCGGTGCACGCGGGCACTGCGCGATTTACGACCAACATTACGGTTTCACCGCTCAACTCGCTTACACCGGCATACTCAACAAGCGCGGTAATTCTCAAAGATCTCACTTTGTATGCGCCCCAACGGCAACTAGATCTCACGCATTTTCCTCATTTGAATGGGTTATCCCTCGCCGATCCTGATCCCACGAGCAGCGATCCTATTCATTTAATCATCGGGTCGGATTTATATAATGAGATAGTTCTGGACGGACGTCTCAAGGGCACGCCCGACCAACCCACAGCTCAGAATTCCATTTTTGGCTGGATCTTATCAGGCCCTGTTCCATCATTATCCGAACCTTCGTCGACATCTTCAGCTAATGTTAGTCGAAAACGGACAGCCTTCACCTTGTCAGTGCATCACTGTTTGATTTCGCCTTCGCTCAGTGACGAAATTAGAAAATTTTGGGAGGTTGAGGAGATTCCTCGTCAAATCTCGCGGTCGGCGGAAGATGAGCAATGCGAACAGCATTTCCTCGCCACGCATTCTCAGACGATTGATGGCCGTTATGTCGTTCGGCTTCCTTTCCGGAAGGGTTCGCCGGTGGACATCGGAGATTCGCGCGAGAAAGCTCAAATTCTTTTAAAATCATTATCACGTCGGTTACAATCTCAGCCTGCGCTGTTCGCGGAATATGACAAGTTCCTAAAAGAATACGAACAGTTAGGTCACATGCGCCTTGTACCAGCACCCTGATACTGACGAACAATACGTATACATACCTCACCATCCGGTTATTAGAACTGATAGCGCGACGACGCATTTGAGAGTCGTTTTTAATGCCTCCAGTTTAACAACTAATCGTTCAAGTTTAAACGACCACTTGCTTTGCGGTGAAAAACTTCAGACTGATCTTGCGGCGGTAATAACTCAATGGCGTCGATTTAAATTCGTATACACCGCCGACATCGCAAAAATGTACCGCCAGATTTCTCTCGATCAACGCGATTGCAATTATCAGCGTATTCTTTGGAATCGGTCGCTCAACAAACCACCTTCGGACTATCAACTCCGTACCGTCACATATGGTCTGACCTGCGCTCCATTCTTGGCTCTTCGAGTCATTAAACAGTTAGTAGCAGACGAGGGGTCCTCATTTCCGTTGGCGATTCCGGTTCTTCGTGACAGTCTTTACGTCGACGACTTACTGTTCGGGGACGATGACGAGAACCATGTTAGGCAGATTCGGCATCAAATAGTCTCGCTGCTTCGACGGGGCCGCTTTGAATTAAGAAAATGGACCAGTAATTCGATTGATCTCTTGTCGGACATTGACGAAAGCGATCACGGGTTAGCCTGCTCCAAGGAACTGGGAGCGAATGAGAAGGTCAAGCTCTTGGGAATCAAATGGAATCCGTCCCTCGACGTATTCCAGATCGACGTCTCACCTTCTGCTCCCGCTTCCAGCAGTAAAAGATCCATTCTTTCCACGATCGCCAAACTGTACGATCCGTTAGGGTGGCTAACTCCTATCACTGTTGCGGCAAAAATCCTGATGCAAGCGTTATGGCGCGAGAAATCAGACTGGGACGATCCGGTTCCGTTGCGACTTCAATCCCGGTGGAATCTCATATATTCGGGCCTTGAGGGTTTACGCAGCATTACAATTCCCCGATGGCTCGGATTAAGTGCAGATGTTCTTAGAACTGAACTTCACGGATTTTCCGACGCGTCCACTCAGGCGTATGCAGCGGTGATCTACCTGAGGGTGATTACCAACTCAGGCACGGTAAGCGTTTCTTTAATTGCGGGCAAGTCTAAAGTCGCTCCGTTGACGCCGCTTACTGTCCCTCGTCTTGAGCTATCCGCCGCGGTTCTACTCTCTCGATTGTTCGATTTCGTTCACAAATCGCTTCCGACGAGAATAACTTCGAGTTTCTGCTGGACGGACTCGTCGATTGTGTTATCGTGGCTTAAGCACCACCCATCGCGGTGGAAAACATTTGTTGCAAACCGAGTAGCCGAGGTGCAGGCACGGTTGTCCACCGCTGAATGGCGACACGTTCCCACGGAAGACAATCCCGCGGACTGTGCCTCTCGGGGCTTAATAGGGAAGGAACTGCTGGATCACGCGTTGTGGTGGCAGGGCCCTTCGTTGTTATTGCGCTCCGAGCTCCACTGGCCAAAGTCTTCACCATCAGTCAACGACAAGCCGCTGCCGGAAAAAAAAATAGTAGCAGTCCATCTTGCAAATCATCAAACCCCTGATGATCTCTCTTCTCGATTCTCTTCGTGGCCAAAACTCATCCGCGTTACTGCCTATCTCTTTAAATTCATATCTCGCCTTCGCAGGACGCCTTGTCGCTCTAATACTAGCGCTCTTCAAAATCGTGCTCTCACCGCAGCGGAATGTAATCAAAGCAGACAGTTCTGGATCAAACGCATCCAAGCAGATCTGTTTCCTCTCGAAATTCAGGATCTTAGTCAAAACAGAACGCTGTCTCCTAAAACTCCTCTCTCATTTTTATCCCCATTCCTCGATGAAGAAGGACTCCTCCGAGTCGGAGGGCGGTTGCGACATGCTCCCATTCATTATAATCGTCGGCATCCAATTCTCCTTGCATCACATCTCCTCGTCACCCTGCTCATCAAACAAGCTCATAACAGATCATTACACGCCGGACTACAGCTAACGTTGAGTGTGTTGAGAAGCGAGTTTTGGATTCTTCGCGCCCGCAGCCTCGTCAAGGCCGTCATTTTCAAATGTGTAATATGCGCTCGCGAGCGAGCTGCGACCCCGTCGCAGCTCATGGGTGACCTTCCTATAGCACGAGTAAAAGCTCCATCTCGCGCGTTTCAGCATTGCGGGGTCGACTACGCGGGCCCGGTAAGAGTGCGGCCGTCCGCGGGGCGAGGCATCACAGCGAGAAAAGCATACATAGCGCTATTTGTGTGTTTAGCCACGCGAGCGATTCATTTAGAATTAGTCTCTGATTACGCGACGCCTTCATTCCTCAATGCGTTCTCTCGCTTCTGCTCGCGCCGCGGACTTCCGCAAGACATGTATTCCGATAACGGAACTACCTTTGTCGGAGCTGACCGTGAGTTGCGCAGCGCTTATCGAGCTGCTCTCCATGATACGGATTTTCAGAACGCGACGGCCAGTGATAATATCACATGGCATTTTATCCCAGCCGCAGCTCCACATTTCGGAGGAATGTGGGAGGCGGGAGTTCGTAGTCTCAAGCATCACTTGCGCCGCGTTCTGAAAGATCATACTCTCGGCTTTGAGGAGTTTACAACTCTACTCTATCGGGTTGAAGCGTGCTTAAATTCTCGTCCTATTGCGCCTCTGAACGACACTCTCGATAGTTATGAACCGTTGACGCCGGGTCATTTCTTGATCGGATCCGCAATAACTGCAAACCCTGAGCCCTCACTGCTCGATGTGAAAGAAAACCGTCTCACTCGATGGCAGCTTATTCGGCAACTCTCGGAGCGATTTTGGAAATTATGGGCTCAGGATTATGTTAATACGCTTCAGCAAAGGAGTAAGTGGCGACGGATTCAGACGCCGATCAGGGAAGGACAGTTCGTCCTCCTTCGCAATCCCGCATTGCCTACGTGCAAATGGGAGTTGGGAAGAGTGACTAGGTGTCATCCCGGACGAGATGGGTTGCCGCGTGTCGTTACCGTCAAAACGGCAACCGCGGAATACTTGCGACCGATTGTCAAGATCTGCGTGCTCTCGATTGAGGGCGAATCGGATACGTCTTAAGCCCCAGATCTATCCAAAAAGAAGCAGGAGGAAGGAAGAGATGACAGCCTTCTCCGCTGTTTAGCATCTGCTCTGAAGGCCTTTCAATTTTTTTTCTTTTTTTTTTTCTTCCTTTTGTATGTTATTGATTGTGTATGGTATAGCGTGCGTCCGTTTCTCTTCTCTTATCTTCTAAATTGTATTCATTTTCTTTTCATTTTCATGCGTCAATATGATATCACTATATCATATGTCATCAAATGCGTCCGTTCATTTCATGCGTCAAGTGCGTCTTTAAATGACACACGGGGATCGCCGCAAGGCGGGCGGCAACTGCTCAGATCATCTTGGCCACGCGACGTCTCGTGCGGCCCTGGATACTCGTTTCGAAACACGAGTTTCGAGGCGAGCGGTATGTTTGGGATTCGGCTCGGCTCTTTCAGCTTGCTTCTGGAATATTCCGTAGGAATATTCTAGAAGCATCCTAATAATAAGATCGAGTGAGCTGAGAGACCGCATGACAACAATGTCTCGCAAGCGATGTGTTGTGCCGCCGAAATCAAAACATGATTCGGCGAATATCCGCGCAATTATTTGGAATCGGCGACACATCACAATACCGCTACATCATCATGTATCAGAGCCGTTTCTCGACAATAATAAATCTCGCTCAACTCTCGCGACCGTTTTCTCGCTGAACCAATGAGATCGGCCAGCGTAGCCGACGCGACATTTATAAAACGACCGTGTAAGAAATCGACCGTTCAGAGCACAAAAATCTTGTATCACGTTCGTATAACGATATAGGACTCCGCGATCTCATTCCAGCCTTAACGACTGCTTCTTCGCGTGTCCGATCGTTTTCCATCAAAGACGAGTTGTGTCTAAAGCTACTCTCATCGTTTTGTTATTCACTAATAAAGATTGGCATTACTTGTTAAGTTTAATTATTGCACGTGCTCAAATTATTTGCAACCACAAGTCGGTCCTTGATAATCAGCCCGTGTTCGCGCGCCCTGCGCTGGGTGTACCGGTGGAAGCGGAATTAATAACACCTATAAGTCCGCGTACAATCTGTATATAATGCAACAACATGTTCCAAATAATTTTTAATTTTTGGCACCATCCTTTTTTTGTTATTATTAAATATAATATTCAATAATTCTTCATTTTCATTGCCGTCACTCGAAGAGGCACTAAAAAAAAAAGAATCAAAAATAATATTATCAAATAAAATATACTTTTCCATAATTACTTTATTAATCTCATCTAATAAAAGAAAACTAATATATACAATTACTAATACAATTACTAATACAATTACTAATATTATACAATAATTTTGAAATTTATCTTTCGGATTATTTTGGATCATTCGGCTGTTTTACTAGCTTTACTGGTGGAAGAAAAGAAACGCAGCAGGAATAATTTTCACTCCTGCCCACTTTACTGTTTCTACTGGCAGTAAATAAATCTATTTTCGAACACATCCATAGGCGGAGCAAAAATTAACCGTGAGAAAGCGGTGGACGCACGAAATAGCGACCCGCTACCTCGCGCTTCCACCGTTACGCGACGCCGCGCCTCCACCCGGCTTCTTTCTCGCGGTTAATTTTTGCTTCGCCGCCTACATAAAGTGACGCGGCCGAGGGCTCTTAGCCTTTTAGAATGTTTGCACGTTGGGCAATATTTTTCTGAAGGTCTATTGTGGATAGAGAGCATTGCCTCTAAGGAGGTATATTTTGTAAACCCACTTCTTCACACTTTGCACTCTTGTGCGAGTTGAAAGGTGGTACACTTTTTGCACTTTTGTGTCTGCACTTTCTGCATTTTTTCCAAATTTGAAAAAGTGCATCGAAGCACTTACTGCACTTTTTTTATCTACACTTTCAGCACTTTTTTTCTCTAACATTTTTTTCTCGAAACACTAACTGCACTTTTTATCTGCACTTTCTGCACTTTTGGAAACAGAATTGTCTGGGCAAGCATTGAGCCAAACTGCATCGATGCTTCGCTGTGGAGATATTGTCCAACAAAGTTTTGAACAGTGCAAAAATCGGTCTCCCAAAATATGCTTCAGAACGTTTCTCTCGTCGAGTACTATCGATTGGTATAGTCGGCATTTTGTGACATTTTTACTTTCATAAAGTTTTGTAAATAATTGGAGAAAATGTAAACTATACCAATCGATAGTACTCGATCAGAGAGTTCATAAGCATATTTTGCGAGACCGATTTTTGCACTTTCACAAATTGTATAGGGCAATATCCCCATCTCCAAGCGTCTAATCTCGGTTCTGTTTGGCTCTTCGCTTGTACTAATAATTTTTTTTACAAACATGCAGAAAGTTCACAAAGTGCTGATGAAAAATTGATTCAACCCTACATTTACATGAGAAGACGTCACGACGGGAAAGGGAACGTCTATACTACATATGGGACATCGAATATTTATTGCGGATTGTAAGCTACAATCGGTATCGGTCTCGCCCATCTACACAGGGCCGTGCAGGTAAATCCGGAAAAAGTTTAGATAGGTATAGTGAAGTGATGTGTTATTGGATTTTTGTGTTCTAGGTTTCTAATTAAAGCTTAAGAAGCGTACTTTGACAGTGAAACAACGTATAAAGTGAAAGTGGAAAGATGAGCAAAGAACAGGACAGGAGAGGTGCGATCCTGGAATCACTGCGCGCCGGGAAGACCGCCAAGGAGATTGTGGATTGGTTTGGCTACTCAAAAACGCAAGTTTACGAGATAGCCAAAACCTATCGAGAGGCGGACAACAAGGACGACGTTACTTCGGACCGGGCAAGCCACAGCAAGCGATCTGACCGGAAGCGGACTGGTGAATTCATCGATCAGTTAAAGGATCGGATTGACCAGAGTCCTGGAACCAGTATGGCAAAGTTGGCCAAAGATATGGGCGTACATCGTGCAACAGTGAGTCGTGCAGTTCACCAGGATCTGCATTATAAATCGTATGTACTACGGAGGCGACAATTGCTGACGGACGCCATGAAAGTCAACCGGAAAATCAAATGCCAAGCACTGCTAAACGACATTAAGCACGAGAGCGCCCATCATCTTCGGTTCTTCACCGACGAGAAAAACTTTATTCAGGACAGAAAGGTCAACCGCCAAAACGATAGGTGGATTTGCGAGGACGCTTCCGATGTGCCGACGGTCATGCATACGAAGTTCCCTGCGTCGGTTATGGTTTTGGGCGTCGTCAGCAGTGACGGAGACGTGATGCCGCCGTATTTCTTTGAGCAGGGACTCAAAATCAACGCGGCGGTGTACATCCACGTGTTAGAGACGGTCGTTAAACCGTGGATGGACCGTGTGGCCGATGGACGTGAATACGTCTTCCAACAGGATTCTGCGCCAGCCCACAAGGCGAGAGTCACGCAAGCATGGCTTCATACCAATGTTCCTTATCATTGGTCGCCGGACTTGTGGCCGTCCTCCAGCCCAGATTGCAATCCGCTGGATTACTACGTGTGGGGCGTAGTAGAGGCAGAGGTGAACAATGAACCTCATAACACAAAGGACGCGCTACGTAAAAAAATTACGGCGGTAATGATCAATATGAACAGAGAGGAGCTGGCTCGGGCGTGTAGGCGATTCAGGTCTCGGCTGGAGCAGATCGTTGAGGCGAACGGGGATTATATAGAGTAATATTAACGTATGTGGTGAGTACTTTCATTTTGCCAAATTGTGTGCATGTAAAAAAATTTTTGGGGATAATATAATTATTTTTTTCTTTCAGTAAATTTTTCCGGATTTACCTGCACGGCCCTGTACTGTATGTATTGCAAAGAAACAATGGATTAGAGCAACAATCCATTAATTTTTTATTACATACAGTTTAGGCGGGTGATACTGATACTCTTTACAGCTTGGAATCCATTATTTATGTTCAATGTCCCATCTCAAGTGTGAACGTTCTCTTATTTCTCGTGGCGTTTTCTCATGAAAGTTATTCCGTTCTTTTGTTTCAGATTAATAGCAGAAGCAGCAGTAGTGGCAGCAGAAGCAGTAGTAGCAATAAAGTTACGGTAAGTATTTTCTTTTTTAGAAACTTTTCAAAGTTTTTTTTACAAACTTTTAAAAAGTTTTATAAATAGGTTTGTTCGAGTTGCTTGTACTATTCACACTTTTACGCCTAATGCCCGTTGCATACTAGTGCACCTCATACAATACAAATTTTTCAAAATACACTCTGAAGACGCTTTTAGGAATGTCATCAGAATATTTTTAGGACGTCCTTAAAAATGTGATCTATCTGAAAATAGCTAATATCCAATAAGTTTATTTACACTAATTGAACTTTTTACACTTTCACACTTAGTGCACATTAATTCTTTCAAGGTTCTAAAAGTGACGTCATGAGTTCCGTTCGTGTTACGAGTGTAATTGCTATTTTGATACACTTTTTACACTTGATCCCAAACAACAGTGAAAAGTCTATCAGAATTGCATTTACACTCGTAACATGAAAGGAAAACATGACGCCATTTTTAGATCCCCCTAAAGAATTAATGTGCACTAACAAAGAAACGGTCGGGGGCGTCCCTCACCGAATTTGATGAGCATTGGATATGTTGTAGAGCATCAAAAAACATTAGACACGTATTTTTTTTTATGTGCTTATCTCGAGGTTTAGGGGTTGAAACCACCCCTTAAGAAAAACGGACTTTTTCATTTTTATTTAATATTTCCTAAAATATGAGGTATATGAAAAAATATTTCAGACAAAAGCTTTACAGTATCTTATGCCCTTTCCATCGGTCTATTCAAATTTTTTAAAATGCAATATTTCACCCCCTCCCCTCCCTCTCCCCTTCGTCACCTTTGCAAATTTTTAAGTTTTTGTAAGGACAAAAATTAAAAAGCATTTCATGCCAAATCCATCGATATATAATAATAGTATGGTTCCTCGATTCAATTCTTGGCAAAACTACATGACTGATAACTTCGCGTTATAGGCACCGCGTTGTGCGAGTAGGTAAGTACTGTACG